TGGAAAACATCTCCAATCACGACGATTCTTCCAACGCAGTCCCTATTTTAGCTTGAAGAACTTCTCCCAAAGCGCTACCATTCTTGTAAGATGTGTAGGCAGTGACCATTTATAGGAAACAAAGACTAAGAAATCATGGTGCTTGATCCAAACACTGAGGATTCTGAATGGTCTAAGCCCGAAGTCATCATCAGGACTCCACTGAAGTAGTAAGAGAGAATGGTCCAATGAAGTTTGATTCACGTGCCTCATTATAATTTGTAGACAAAATGCTGCGTTGTAGAATTAATGAGTACTCTATCCAATCCCTTCCTAACCCGACCATTTGACCAAGTATATCTATTCCCAAAGAAACCAGCATCCTCATACCCATAGTCTAACATCATATCCGAGAAAGCAATAGTGCCACGATCACGAGTATCATGACTAGTGCATTTTCCATCATGTGTAATAATGTTAAAGTCTCTCCCAACTAGCCAAGGATCATTCATATCGAGGGAAATGTGGTGAAGGCCCACCCACAAGTCCCTCCTAATAGCAGCATCACATGAAGTATACACTGGAGTCAAGTAGATAGGACACGCTAGTATGGGGTCTTCAACTCTAACGTGGAGGAACTGGGGATGGTCAACAATCAGCAACATTAGTCCTCGAGATTCAAAAAACCAGATCTTATTCGATTCATTCTGAATACCCATGTAAAAGTGCAGATTTCGTCGAATATATGCAAAATTGTACTGAAGAACAAGAGGCTCCAATATAACCAGAAGATAAATCTGATGAAGTTGAATAAGTTTCTTCAATCGCCTGTAAGTATCTACACTAGCTACACCTCTCACATTCCATATGATGGCACTCATAGACATGGAAAATGTGAGGAGGTATCATGTGATTGACTCCTAGTGATCCTCCTGCTCAGATATGGAGTATTAGTATCCCATGGGTGTTTCTTCCATGTAACCCGGCCAAAGCTATCATCCTCTATCTGTCTAGCCATGCCAACTAAATCCTCAGCAGATGACCTAAAGAACATACCCTGCTGATGGACCTTATTCTGTGATATAGCATCAGTAGTGATGCGAACCCCATAGAAACGTTGACTACGAAACCCACAACGAGATTGACGAATCCAAGAAAGTCAAATTAATCCAAAGTTTAGGATTAACCCAAAAGAAAGTCGAACCAAAAAATCCAACAAGAACGATGCTTGAAAGACCCCTTG